GTTACAGCCAAAAACGGTGAACCATTTTCATAGTTGAACTTGGCGATCCGCTAAAATGCACTGATAACCATGAAACTAGATGATCACCTTGTCAAAAGGTGGAGCATTTTCAAAAGGGCCGTATTTTATCCTGGATGCCGTTTTGTGAACTGGCTGAAGATCGATGGTGTAGAAGAGCACATCACCAGGACTCAAAACAACAGTTGTAGTAACGCGTTGGGATGGATATACCGAGAAATAACCCACGTTAATTACAAATTCCACCAGTTGTTTGTCAGCTTGAAGGATTTTGGCGGGCTTCGGCTTGAGTAAACCCGTGAAGAAAGAGGAAACCGTAAATTTAAAACGTTTCCCCGAATTTTCGGCTGGGATCCTGATGACAAACTCCGTCACACTAAGGGAGCGAAATTCTTTAGCAAAGAATAAGGTTACTTCGATACTTCCGAAATACGTTCCACGGGTACCGATGTTTTGGAATTAATCTAAAGCGTGCAAATGTGAGACACGAGACATACCTTAGCTTCTATAAAGGATAAATGATCAGAGATGTCAGGGTCAATTGCATAATGGTACATCCCAACAGGGCCCTCAGAAAGATCAAGGGTTATTTCGGCATCGATACGAATGATATGCGAATCGGCATAAACAGTCTGTGCTACATCAGTGTTAACAAACTCAGAACGACCAAACGCAAACACAAGTAAAAGAATGAGAAAAGGTACAATGTGCATGCCTGATCAAGTTAGAGAGCACAAATCAAGAAGAAAAGCGACGGTAACAAAAACACCAAGCCGGCGTCCAAGGACTACAAACAACAGACGCCACAGGCGAGCCTTTAGAACTGTGTTAATGAGGTGTGTTAATTTTAACAATTAAAGTTTGTTCAATCAACTGCAGACACAAATAATTTTTCAAACTATGAAACAAGCTTTTGCTCCTTTCATTTTGCTCGCAGTGCCATAATGCTTACAGTAAAATAATATTCATCCGAAACTGATAGAACATACCTAAAACTAAGCTACCAAATGCGATTATGTGGGTGACAGATGTAGCGTCCCGAGGCTCCCCATAGGGTGGAAGAAGGCATAAGTGGGGTTGGATACATGTATTCCGATGACGACAGGACAAATGGGCCTGGGCATGGCCCAAAGGTCAACCCGCGTGTACAAACGCCAGATCAACTCCTAAAGTGACCGCCAAACGCCATGTGGTCACAAAACCAAAGCACTACACTCCCCCTCTCTTCTTTTGAGCGGCGTCCTCGACACTCCCCTTTGGCACACCTCCCACACCAGCCATCACAACATATTCGGTATAACAAGAAAGCACCCACGAGAAGCCGTACATTGTCTCCTCGGCAGCTTCAATTGGATCTGGAGTTACGTTCGGTCTAACAACCAGATTCGGAGCT